ATAAGTTCTACATAATGGTGGCTAGACAAATGTTGTTCTATGGGAGGAGTCAGAGGCGAATCTAGGATTTTTCGAACACGTATTAAAGTGAGAATTGATATGTTTGTGAAATTTTACGGGATATGATATGTTTGTTGCCGTCTTGATTCACATGTAAATATCATACACTTGGTGCAGTTAGCTTTTTTATTCTATGGAAAAGGGATAGAAATCTAACATTTTATTCTTCTATTGTAGAATGCGGTAATTAGTGATATTGAAGGCTAAATATTTGACTCAAATTTTGAAATTTCTGTTACAATATTATATTTTAGTTTAAGAAAACAAGTTAAAGTATTGATTCAGAAGTCTCCACTCTATTCATGTAAGTCCTTTTTCTTTTCGTAGTTAGATAAGTTTTATAGAGCGGTGGTTAATTAGATTATCCTTGTTTTATAGATGAAGTGTTGTTCAGTCTAAATATCATCACATGTTACATGTTGCGGAGATAATGATGTCGTTGAGATAGCTATGCGGACATACTAGGAGTTGCAAAATTAGGAATGTAACATTATCCAGGAGAAGATGGGAGTGGGCTCTGTGGTATATAAACAAGATGAGAAAAGTGATACTGAAATAGTTTTGATATGTGTAGAGGAGGGGAGCCGACAACTAAGTGATCTTTTGCGAAAGGTTGGTTATAAGGATTACATTGACTAGCTGTAATTAGATGATCTTAGGAGATGTAAGTAAAACTTTATCAAACATCAAAATAATAAATTCATATTAGTCGTTGAATCAAAAAAGTTAAAAAAATATGTGAGAAGTTACATGAATTTTTTTTTAATAAAACAATTAAGAAAATAAATAGAAAATTAGTTTGTTTCATAGAAATATATATAAGTCATTTTGATAACAAAGGATATATCGCTCTGAATGACAAAGTTAAAAATATTAACGTGATCAATGTATGAAAATGATTAAAATATACATAGTGTGAGACTTGTTTCTAGGGTTTCTTTCTAAATTGTCTCCTTGAAAAAGACATATCAACTACTTTCTCAATAATTTTAGACAAAGTCATCGTTAAATAACAAAACAAGTGCAATGTTTTATTAAAACAAGCACGAAATCTTAATTAATTAACTCGTTAACTCTAACTACATAACTTTGAAATTATAGTTACTTGTATGACTTGACATATTTTCTTGATAATTACATTATTATCTTCATAAGTTTCTGTTTAGTAGTTATACATAAACTCACATATTATATATTAAAGTAAATAAATGAAGGACAAAGTAATGTGTATTACTATTTACATAGTTATGTGAAAATGTTTATATGTCCTTTTTGTTATTTCTAAGAAAATGGATTATTTTGTATGGAAATTATAGGAATAAATAAAAATATATATATCGATCCAATGTAAAAAAAAATTATATATATATAAAAAAAATAAGTAGAACATTTTAGTTTGTCATGGTGTATGGATGTACACATCCCAATGAACAAATTCAGGCGTGAAATCATGACCATTGAAGATATTGAAACATAACATGATCGATAAACTTTAAAAAGTTAAATTACAATATAAAACAACGATATATTCATATATTCTTTTCAAAAGAACTCATTTTAATAAATTGATTGCTCTGCTCGATTGATCACTTAATAATTTGAAATGATCGATCATCAAATTAAAGTTATTTATCGTTTTTATACTTCAAAAAATCTTTTTTTACCTAATTAGCTTAAATGATCTTTTTCACAAGTTTTTTTTTAACCAGTGATATTTAATAACGTCACAACATTTGATATTTTTTTTATAAAAAAAAGTAGTTCTAACAAAATAGTCAAGAAATTGAACTAATTTAGAATTTAACCCAATATCTGACTTTATTCATCCTTTTTAATTATAAAACATATGAAATGTTGTAAATTAATGATTGAAATGTGAAAATAATACTGAACAAACATATGAGTGCAAATATATATTAGGTTGGATTGGATTCTAAATTAGTATTCTAATTATTATTATTTTTCTTTTTTTTAGTAATAATGAAATTATTATAAGCCTTTCTAATAGAAAAATATACTGCTCCATATCTTTTAAATTATTCATCTTTTTTTTAGTTTGTTTTGAAACAATAAATAATATTTCTTTTTTTATTAATTTTTAAATTTAACTTTCACATTGATATGTTTAAGACTATAAGATTAAAAAATATTTTGATATATTACATGTATATCTTTAGTTTAAGATGATAAGAAAAAATAAAGTTTTTTAATTAAAAGTAAAGAAATAACTTTGCAGGTTATAAATTTAAAAAAAATAATTAAATTTAGGCCTCGGATTTATTTTTAACTTTAGGCCACTAATTAACTTGAGTAGCCATTTGACATGTCAATCTTTACGTATATTTTATGTTTATATTTTTAAAAATTAATATAATATTATCTATTGACACTGATATTACAATAAGATTAAATGAACCACGTGATTGAAAGTTGAGTTATGATTAGGGATCAATTCCCATAAAATTTAAAATATATGTTTTTTTATTGTTTTATGGTACATCCATATTCGCAATATCCTCAAGAAGTTTTTTGTTATTTTTTATGGTACATCCATATTTTAAAAATTCTAGATTCTTCGCTGAAGATAATAATTTGATTCACCGATAATTAAGTGAATTGACTTCTAAAAGAAATATAATTACCACTAAATCTTTTTTTTTCTTTTCTTTTTTTATGATATAAATATTAGATTCTCCGGTAAAAATGATCATTGAAGCTAATTTAATGAAGTAAAGTGACTTTTATTTAATAGAAAAAGTAAACTTTGATAGTCAAATACTCTCAAAATGAGAGATCATCTAAGCAAACAAGCCCCTCAAGGCCTCAATTGTACATATTAGGGATATGTATTTTAATTAAGATAAAAAAAAAAGAAATTTAACTTAAAAGCCAAGTATGCATTACTTCTCTATTTTAATTTATTTGTCTAATTTAAGTTTGACACAAAATTTAAAAAGGTAAATATAATTTTTAAATATTATCATCTTAAATCGAAAATATGTAGAATACACTAATTAAAATGTTTTTATAATTTTAAAGAAATCTGAAAAGTTATAACTAAAAATTATTAATAAATAAATATTTTTAAAAAAAATTAACACGGAAGAAGAATTAATTAACTAAGGCATGCACGGAATGTATATGTGATTGTTCAAAGAAAATAGGATTGTTTAAATTCCAAGCCTTATAAGGAGTTCACGAATCTCATGAATCACCAATGTGAAACTTTTATCATTCTTTAATAGAATTGATTTACCAAATTACCGGCAAAATCAAAATTTAAAAAATTAATTTTTAATATCTACTTTTAACTATCGATTACAGTTAAATTGAAAATTTAAAATTTTCAAATCGAATATCAAGCGTCTACCCTATTTTTGAATATGGAAAAAGAAAATATAATTACTTGTACTACTTAAGTTAACTGCTACAAATAAAATAATGACATTGTACGCGTGGATTGTTGTAGTAATTTAATTAATTAATTAATTAAACATATGTATGGTGAAGTAATATAACAAGTAAAATATGACGGAAATTTGATTTTGTAGTTTTTTATAAATTTATTTTTTATTTTATATGTGATTATTATGGATCATTTTAACTAAATTATCGATCATTTTTCCACTTAGAGAAAAACGCTAAATTTTAACAAAACTAATTAATGCATTTTTACGAGTTTGCATTTGTGGCCCAGGAACTGCTATTGCGATCGAGGTCCCTAACAAATTCAAATATCAATTACTAAAAGAGGTGAAGGAATTTTTTTTCGACAACTACCTAGCATAAAAAAAATATGTGACAAAATGTAATTGTTCGTTGGAACGTGACATAAATGATTCAAACATGTGTAGAGGAGGAGAACAAGTGTTAATGCCCAATAAAAAGGTGCGAGAGGCTAGTGGTAAGAGGTACTCCAGAGAGGTGGTTAGACAGGACATGACACAGCTTTATATTATCAATGACATGACTCTAGATAAGAAAGTGTCGAAGTTAAGTATTAGAGTAGAAGTGGTGGAGTATTGTTGTCGTGATGTCCGTTAAGTACCTGTCGTAGAAGTAGCCGTACCGTTCTAGTTCTTGTCATATGTTGTTTATTGTGTCTCGATTATCACACTATTTTATTGTTGTAATTGTTTCTTTCGTGTAGACTTTACCATGCTTTCCTAGTTTTCTTAATTAATTGTTTCTTTCCAGTAGACCTTATAATGCTTTAATTTCCTAGTTTTCTTACTAACGGCTTTGTTTTCTTTCTCTTTTTTTTACTTGAGTTTGATGCACTTGAGCCGATGATTTTTCAGAAAAAGTCTCTATCTTCACGAGATAGCGATGAAATTTGTATATATTCTGTTCTACACAGACTCCACTTAGTGGGATTGCGCTGAATATATTGGTGTTGTTATAATTTTGTATTGATTTCTCTCTTCTTAGTTTGGAAGTATCTATATAGGCTAACCCTTCCCATTTAAAAAAGCTTAAACTTATTTAATCTAATTTTAATTTGTACTTAGGTAAGGTTTGTATCCCTATAAATGTTTTGTACTTACCTGGAAGGTGCATGATGGCTTATGAAAATTAAATAAAAAGATCATGTGTTTTCTTTAATCAACCAAATTAAGAGGTCATAAGGGACCAAATCAGGGTGTTCTCGTGGTCAATAAATTGGTTGAGACCTATGCAGACTTGGTTTCAAAACTAACGGAGACAAAAAAAATACGATGTAATTTTTCTTATCTGTTCAGTCTTGGTGTACTCGAAAGTGACAAGTAAAATTAGTCGAGATACATAAAAATTGACCTAAAAACCACGATCATTTTAAAAAAAGTTCACTTGGCACCGTGTACCTTAAGATGCATGGTAGGTGAGAGCTTCTCAAACACATTATATATCTTCTTTAAATTCAACAAGAAGAAAACTATATATTAATTTTCCCCTATAATATAAGATTAACCCTCAAGCTTATACTTGTAACAAATGTTTAGCAACAAGTTATCCAAAGATCCATTTATATATTCTCTACATATATCCCTTGTAGTAAAAACTTTTTTTTTTCTCTCTTGTTTGAGAAGTTCTTTAGGTTTTCAATTAAGTTTCAAGGTTTAGGGTTGTGTTTTTTTCGTCGAAAATCTTGAAAAATGGAAGGAGAAGTAAAGGAAGAAATTGATTTACCACCAGGATTTAGATTTCATCCAAGTGATGAAGAACTTATAACATATTATCTTATGAATAAAATTTCAGATTCTAATAATTTTATTGCAAGGGCTATTGGAGATGTTGATTTAAACAAATCTGAGCCATGGGATCTTCCAGGTATATACTTAATTAATTAATTGTATATTTACAATCCTCAAAATTTGTTAATTACTTAAGCATGTATTTACAATAAGCATATTGAAATTAAATAGTAGTAATACATTTTTTTCTAGCCCTTCCTTAAGAGGTCGATCCCACCCTTTTTACTTCCTTGCTGACTCGAACTCACAATGAACTTCAGATGGGTGGTTACCACCCGAGCAATTCTTTTTCGTAAATGGTAGTAACACATATGGTTATATAAATCAAGAAAGCAAGAGCTAGGGTTTTGAAATGGTTTTTTTTGTTTATGACATTTTAATGAGATGTGACGTGTTACTAGTCCTGGAAATAAATTTTAAAAATCCGATAGAATGAGCAGTTCTTTCTCCTTAAATGGACCTAAGTTACGTAGTTCGAGCTCGGATAAATCAAGCTAATAAATTTTGAACAAATTAAACAAAATATGGATTTGTTTTTTATTTTTTTTCCTCTTAATTCCTACAACACCCTCTTTAATTCTTTGAAAATCATGATATATATATATATATATATATATAAAAAAAATTACGTTTTGATATGATTTAACTTATATACAATACTATAAATAACTTTTACAGCAACTTTGATATAAATTACGTTTTGATATGATTTAACTTATATACAATACTATAAATAACTTTTACAGCAACTTTGATATTAATTATAACATGTTGTCATTTATTTCACCTAATTTGTAATATAAAGTAATTTGTAATTATCTTTTTTATAACGTTAATTACCTTATTAGGTAAATAACCCTCAATGCACGCTTCGCTAAATATAAATGCATAAAATTAAAGCCTACTCTATGGTGCATTTTTAATTGCTTGCAAGCTTCATCAAATTAAATTGTTATAACAAAAAAATTAAGAAAATTTTCTTTTTCTTGTTCCTAAAAAAATAATTATGTGGCATTATTCTGGCTTTGAGAGTTAATTTTTAAAAATTTGTTTATAAATTCAGATATGAAATCTTTTAAAATTTTAAAATAAAATTTACATGTTTTGAAACTATGTAAAAAGTAAAAGTATTGTTAGTCACAAAATAACCTACAAAGAAAAGACTCATTTTGACATTGAAAGTCAACCTTTCAAATTCTGACTAAAAACACGAATATAACATATTTAAAATAAACTATGTAAAAAGTAATACTCGTAGCCCCAAAAAATAATCAACAATTCAAAAAAATTTATGTGGTATATGAAAAAATTGGCGTCAAAGAAAAAACTCTGACTCTCGATATACAAAAAAATGTAGCATAAATTGTGACAAGTAGAGTAAACTACACATTATATTCATTTAATTTCTTAATGCACATGATGTTTAATTATAAAATGACACTTATTTTGAAACGATCTGTATAATCAAGTTAACTTTTTTTGGAAATTAATTATGATATAGGGAAGGCAAAAATGGGAGAAGAAGAATGGTATTTTTTCAGCCAAAGAGATAGAAAGTATCCAACAGGAGTGAGAACAAACAGAGCAACAAATAGTGGATATTGGAAAACTACTGGCAAAGACAAAGAGATTTTTAGTAATTTAGAATTAGTTGGTATGAAGAAAACATTGGTATTTTATAAAGGAAGAGCACCACGAGGGGAAAAAACCAATTGGGTAATGCATGAATATAGACTCCATTCCAAATCATCCTATACAACACACAAGGTATGTGATTCAATAAATATATCAATTCATTTCTTTATTTTACGTGAAAATGGGATAAGGAGCATAGTTTCAGTTCCAAGGGGATCTTTTTTCTTTTTTCTTCATAGTATTAAAATTTTAACATTCTCGCTAAAAGTAATATGAATTTCTGTTTCTTTTAAAAAGTTGTCATGTTGTGCTTTTGGAGAGTCAGTTTGACTTATTTTTAAAATTAAATTATATTATAATTCAAATGTTTTTGAAAAAAAATATTAGACATTCGATAACTATACAACAAATACTATAAATTGCAAACTTTTTTCATATCATCGTGGTGCACTGTAATTATATCCTAATTTATGTCCGTTTCTCAAGAGAAATATGCATATATACAAATGATTTTTTTCTGAAGTTGCACGTACACCGCACTTATAAGTGTGAGTCAGCCTCTGATGAAAAAATATATTTTAAAATGTTAGCCAAAATTCATATCGTTTGTCTCTCAAAAACAAAACTATGACAACTAAAAGAAACGAAGGAAATACTTGAAATTTAAAGTATTATTCTAAAATTACTAATATTTCAATTCTCAACATGAGCTTAGTGTATTGGATTGTGCTACTTAAATAGTTTAAATTTCTCGATCTTAAGTGATTGTTTGTTAATTTATTCTATACTAGCTAGCTCTAACATATATGTGCGTTTACACACATTGTTTTAACAATAAGTTTCAAAAGTCGTTCTTTTCTCTTATTAAAATTATGTGTGAATTTAAATTAACTTGTGTTGTATGTATGTACTTTGGAATATTTTTCAGCAAGATGAATGGATTGTTTGCCGTGTATTCCAAAAGAGTAATGCAGGAGGAAAAAGATACTCTACTAATAACAACACTTTAAGAATTCATGTAAACCCCTACACTACACTTGATCAAATCAATCCAAATACAATATGCATTTCTTCACAAATTATGATGCCACAAGTTGAACATAATACATTTCAACTAGCCATGGGAAAATCATCATCATCAAGTGCTCACACTATGATCAATCATCCAGAAATTCAAGAAGTTTTTCGAGGCGTTTCATCGTCGTCATCGTCTAACTTGATGAACTTGCATACAACTCTTCAATCCCAAATGAACTATAACTTAGGTGGAGGCAATGGTTTTACTATTTCAGGCTTGAACTTGAATCTTGGTGGTGGTGGTGCCACTACTTCTCAGCCAGGACCACCACCGCCACGGCCGCGACAAGATGTGAGTTCTTCTCATGTGATGATGACAACTCATGATGATCAGGCTGGTTATGGTGAAGATATGAGTAGTGGAAATGTCATGAATAGATTTATGGTTTTGGAAAATAGTTCTCATGATTTAGACAACTGTTGGGGTAACTATTGATGATCTATGTTGTTCGAATCCTCCAAAAAAAATAGCATATCAGACCTTATAAAAATCGCGCTTTTTTTTAAGGATTCGAGTAGATGTAATTAGAAGACAAGTAGTACTCTATGTAAAGTAATTACTAGTTTGGAGATGGAGATAAATCTATTTATAGGGTAAAGTTTGAACGAATGGCTTCTAATTTTGTAGCATTTTCGACCTTCATCCGAAACCAATTCAAAGTTCAAACAACATAAGAAAATTATTCAACACAAAAGGGCCAAATACCTGTGTACTCCAGTAAACTGTTTATATTTATCCTCCGTTTAAGTTTTCGAATAATTTTTCCTCCATCGTTACACCTATGATCAAATATGACTGAGGAGATGTTGATACAGCTACTTCGATATGTAATACACAACTAAAATACAGTGTCGCAACATTGACAGCGAGTAGTGGAAAGACCACGAAACACCAACACTATCCAAAGCAACAAAACAGTAATAGTACACAAGTAAATTTCTCACACCCACTACCCTCACCATTCATGCTTTATGCACATATGGAAAATCTATGCAGAACTTGGTCCAAGCGCCCGGTGAAACAATGACATGACCCATCTGCAAATGAGATGAAATGAACCCAGCGTCATACAAGTAGCAGTAATACTGTAATTGTGAAAGAACTGCAAAATTTAGTCAAAGAAGATGATAGATAGCTACTCGATATGAACATAATAGTTTGATGTCCCCATACTTTTTTCGTTGAAACTATCAATTAATTCTTTGCTAACTACAAGTATTTCGCTTTGCCTATCTAGTTCTCTTACAAGTTATAGCTAATTTCACATATATTGGCTCATGAAACGTACCAACTCATTGACATCCTTGGGAGTAGCCCTTTTTCACCACATACAGATGCAAAAGTCACTTCACACTCAGTTGAATCAAATATGCAGTATTTATAGACAAAAAGTTTACTTGCTATTGGGGAAAATCAATATTCTTCTAATGCCGAATCAGGATCAACTAAGACAAAAATAAAGCATTGGGCCGAACTCATTTTTTTTCTTTGAGATAAGGTTTACCTGAGGCTTGAGCATTGGTTCGAACTCTTCTTTGGTGGCAAAGGTAATAAGCTAAGACATCGACTTCCAGGAAAGAGTAGAAGAATGAGACTGACCAGAAAATTACCGAGGCCTAGTTTTACTGCTTTATTCTCGAAAGCATGGAACTCGAGTCCCTAGAAAAAATCCTATACCAATCATTTGGAGTAAATCCAGGGTGTAACTTGGTACAAGGATAAAGAATGTGGGAAATGTGCTACTTCGGATTTTGGCCAAGAATGGTCATGACTCACATTTTCCAAATAAACAACTCACTGATCTCATTATTTTTGTATACAAGCCATCAAAAATTACCCGTGTCCCACCCATGAATAACACACTGACATAGGAGTATTTTCTTTAGCAAAAGTCACCTTATAGCAGCACAAAAGAACAAGTACAGGCATGTATGCCAAGGAACTTCAGAACATTTCTTAGAGGCAATCTAATTTAAAAACATGCTACTACTACCATTAACCTTTAATCTGAAAAGCTAACACTGTGAATCTGATCCAAGTCATACATAAATTCAGCTCAAGATATATAAATGCATCCATAAATTAATTTAAACCAGGTAAATAAAGGAGGCAAATTGCTAACGTGATACCTGCAAACTGTGAAATACTTGATTTCTGATGAAAGCAATGTACTACCTCGCCCTACTTGTCTGTGTGCGCCCTCTTGGACTTACGGCGTGAATGGTGTGAATGACCATGTCGAGTAGGTTTCTTCGCCTTTTTACTGTCACAAATAATAAAATACAGACAATTCTGAGCCTTGTGAATTAAGTAGATCTACAGACGCTTCAATATAGAAGGGTAGATCACTGTGGAGAAAGGCAAATAAGGGAGCAGAGTAAACTGTGCTAACCAGAAAATGCCAGACAAAAGTTTGAACAGAATTATAACGGGCAAAGCCAACACTGCTGAAGCCTACAGCATAAAAGATCAGCAAAAATTTCTTAGTATGAAATCATCAAATTGAATAAAACAGCAGAGGACAGAATGGCAAGACAATAGAATATGACAATCAGATACGTACAGCAAACCAGACGAACTCCTTTGTTGCAAGAGGTCTTGTAAGCTCATGTTTCTTCAGTGTTTTATCTACTGTACCTTGCAGCTTCAGATGGGAATGAAACATTGATTTAGAATATATGGAACAAGATAATTTAAATACTATAAGCAACATATGCACAGTAGAAAAGGCATTTGCTATTTCATCGATCCTTCCACCAGATCATTTCAAATCGTTCAACTCATCCAACCGTAATATAAATTTGTTACCTCTTCTAACAACAGTTCAAAAGCTACTCTTCTAACCCTAGAATACCACATTATCATTCTTCTTAATCATCTTGCCGAGGGTCTCTCAAAAAAGCCTCTCCACCTCCACGAGATAGGGGTAAGGTATGTGTACACTCTAACCCCCCCCCCCCCACACACACACACACACAACCCAACTCAAAAAAAACTCGGTATGTTCTTCATCATAAAGAGGAGATGAATCAAACACAACCACCAGAAGAAAAATGACCATTTCCTCCACTCAATGAACTAAGACATAATAAATAATACAGACTAATTTGTCCTAGCTGGACCCTTATCCCTTACCCCTAATTGCCTAAAGATCTGTTTGTCTTTCATTTGACAATACCAAGTGAAGGATCTACATTTTAATACAGAGCTCAAACAGATACTCCCTATTGGCAGAGCTAAATCACAAAAGCATTTGAAAATTGACAATTGTTGGGAATACAAACTGGAAGATAAAGCACTCTTCATCAACTGATTTGCAACACATTCCGCGAAGTTATTGTGGATAATTTAGTAGCTTCAGCAAAATCATTCTAAAAAGTTAAGCCTCTCGCATACAAATACAGAGGTGCCAAGAAGACAGACAGAAAAGGTAACTTCAGACTCTCCAGGATTTATTTTATTCCATTTTATTTTTGGGTCTACGAGGTTGTCGGAACTTGAATACATGAGAAACTGATGCAGCAGTAAAATTACAGGAAATGTTTAGAAACGGACTATGACTTGCATATCTCAACCACAAGTAAACCTATACGAGATCTGAATATTTCAGGAACTATCGTTTCACTTTATTTTAACACACCTGATTATGGTATATTGTTGCAGACTCGAGGAACTTCCCATAATGATGAACTGCCACATCTCTATATGGCTTTACAGCAATACGAACTTTTTCAACATGAGGTTTTGTAGCAGTGGCGACTTGATCGATGTATGGCTTGCTAAATTTCTTAAGTTCCTGTGAAAAAATTATGCTTTCATCACATCACATACAAATAAAACCGAAAAAATAGGTGTAAGTTATACATTTGATGCATGTAGAACGACGGGAATTATATTCCTTAATGTGAGTACTTAATATTTCAGAAAATATTAATTGATAAGGGATGTTACCTGAAAGTGAGGTTTTGCTAGCTCCTGAACCTTGACAATATGTGGAGTTACGGCGCTTTTAGATGTCTCATAGATCTCAAATCCTTTGGTCCTCACCAATTCCATTTGTGGCTTGAGGTTAGTGGTCATTACCACCCATTGTTCCTCAACAGCAGGCATCCATTTCTTCAAAAAGTAGAACAGCAAACACGAGACATTATTAAGATCCTCTATCTTGATAACAAATACAGCACAAAAAACTAGCTTTAGGAGTAAATTAAATGTTTGAAGTAGATAATTGTATCTACATGTAAAAAAAACTAATAGAGATTCTTCCCAGATCTGGAAGTCATCTTACTGCCCACCTTTAGCTTGTCCTACTAACTCTTGATTTTCCTCCCCCGGATGTCTGGTGAGTGTAATAAGAGAACTCACCTCTTGGGAAGAAACAAAGATACTCTACCATTTTAACAGTTTTATCTAGCAAGGTACCATTACTGCTTTGTTAACAGGAAATCTCAAATTAGTTTAGTTTTATTGTTTAAGTACTTATTTCCATGAAGAGATGAGGACTTAATGTAATAACTTACTCGTTAATGTATACCTAGAGGTGCCAAATGGGTGGGTTGGGCTGGAATTGGGCAAGTTAAATAGGGGTGAGTTAATAAATGGGTTGGGTTAACACAAAATGATGAGAAACAGAGAGAATGGAAATGTGAGACACTGGGATGTTGTAGAGAAGGAAGAAGTGGTATACCCTAAAAGAAGGGCCTACTCCATCTTTTTCCAATATTTATGACACTCTTTTCCATTTTGGGACATTCCAAAGTATTTGACATCATAGCATTTCTGGCTTTCGTAAGTGCCGAGAACTCATCCAATAAATTAATTTAATTGAATATGGTAATAAGATGCAAAGCTGACTTACTGTTTTGACTGTTTCTATATGTGGCGCAGCCCATACCTCAGCTTGAGCCTTCTTCTCAACTGCCTAAGAAGCAAGTGAAAAAGGGTAAACAGGATAGAATAGTAACTCAAACAAGAATTCGTTCAATAATCAATAGTTAAACAGGATCCAGTAGCAACAAGACATGTACCTTCTGTATCATTGTGTTCATAGCAGGTTTTCCGTGCTCCTCCCAATGCTTCTCCAGAAGAGACTGAAATTCACAGCAGAGTCAGCAATCCATTTACAAGAAGGTTAGTTATGATTTTTGCTCAAAATACCTTGTAGTGAGTCATATGAACTTCAAGCCAACGTGGAAGCCATGCCCCATGCACCTGGATTTTAAGCAGAAGGAAAGAGCCAGGTTAACATTTATATAATGGATTAACATCATCTACAAAGCAAAGCATAGATAGAGAGCACGTCTTCAAACTTCTCGAGTTCTCCAACTCTTTCTTGGTCTTGTAACTAAGCCAGTGAATTGCTGCACTTAAAGATGCCTACACAGTTTATGATTGATGCAGAATGCTACTTTGATCCTTTTTTTCCCCTTATTGTTGGGCTGTGCATGGTGCAGAAGCATAACCTGGTTCCCATGAATCAGATTCTCATCCAAAAATGTTCACAATTAAATCGCCATACATCAACACAAACCAGAGACGACTTTCGCACATCACAACTCCATAACCCAAGAATGAGGGCAAACAGAAGGGGAACTACAAAAACCACCCTTCCCTCCTCATATTGACAAAATATGTGAAAACCAATCCAACTTTTTACCCCACATAGGATCTTTATGACTTTAATAATACAATTCTAGACAAGATCATGATAACCCACAAAATTTGGGGAAAATTGCTAAATTCCAAATTATAAGTACTGAAGACTGTTTTTTCATGCTAACCATAAATCAACAGAACCCAAAAAATCTCTACTAATTATCAATGATTTAAATAAAAGAAGACTGTACTTAATTATCCCACCTAAAATAAAGGGCAGACAAGCTGTAGAAC